ACCCTGTGCTCTAGGGCCCGTGAGCTACAACTACTGAGACTGCATGCTACAACTACGGAAGCCTAAAGCCCATGCTCTGCAATAAGAGAAGCCACTGTGATAAGAGGCCTGTGCACTGTAACTAGAGCCTGTGCACTGCAACTAGAGGAAGCCCGTGCCCAGTAATGAAGACCGAATACAGCCAAAAATAAAAAAAGAAATAGAAAAAGGTAACTAACTAACTAGGTCATCAAGCTCTGAAGATTTTGAAAGAAGTATGTTACTCGTTGCTGCTGTAAAGGAGCAAAAACAAAAGTAAAAACCAGTGCCTAGGAGTTCAGTGTATTCACCTATCTAAAGCTGGTGAACTGAAGGTGTAGTGAGGAGTAAAAGCTGTAGTTGTTAACAACTCTGGAGCTTGGATTTAGAGGAGAAAATTTTGGGTTAGAATTGACACTGTTTTTACTCTCTTGCTTTTATCTTTCAGTGAGACTAAAATCATCCTTTCTTTGGTACCAAAATCACCACTCTTATAGTAATTGTAAAGTCCCAGATCAAACATTTGGATCTTAGTACTCAGGAAGTATCTTTTGGATATCAAAGGCAGATCAGCTAGAACACTATCAAGGTGATGCAACTGAGAGGTAAGGGTAGGGTCAAAAGGAGCCCAGAGGTTGCTTGTATCTCTTAAAAGCATTTTAAAAAACAACAGAAAACACCACAACAAAACCCTCATCTCAGAAATATCCTGAATACTCAATGTTTAGGTGCTAAAATATTAAAAGATTAACATGAGTCATTTAATGGTTTAAGTTCTCTTACTGGACCAGTCTAGATGGAAGACAGTAGTAAGCTGAAGGTAAAAATTTCAATTGCTTTCTTACTAGTCTGCTAAAAGTATCTTTTGGGCATATATGAATTTTGCAGACTTTTGCATTTTTCACCATTTTAGCAAATTCCAGTCTATGTCTCTGACAGTTTTTTTTATAGATTTGTCCTACTTTTTTGTGCATTTTATGCATATCCTTTAAAAACATATACGAAATAGAGCTCCTGATTAATATACAACATGAGTTTCTTCACATACTTTCATCTTAACCCAATTTCCCTTGGCCATGAGCTGAGGACAAAGGTTATTGAAACTTTTTGAGAGATTGTTTCCTGATACTTTGCTCATTAATTTATTTTTTCTATTTTAGAATACTGTGTGGCAATTCTCATGATACAGCCAAACCTCTAACTAACTGACCTATTCTCAGTACCTGACCAATGCATTAAAGAAAGATTCTCAAACAAACAGGAGCTGGTGAGTACATAGATCTTTGTTGTAAATCAGTGTTTCCCAGCTGTAGCACTGTGACCTCTCTCTCTTGTGGGGGCTGATTGATATTTAGTGGCCTCCCAGGGGTAGAAGGGGTGGCAAACAGCACCCCTTCCTTAGTTTCTGACAGACAGACACCAAAAATACTATCTTCAGACATTTTCAAATGTTCCCTGGGGAACAAAACTGCCCCTCCCTGATGGGAACCAATGATGTTAGGAGCAAACTGCCCATACATTCTGTGATGAAACAGAATTCTTACTTTTTTATTATTATTTAAATCCTACATACAGTGTGAGGACAAATTGCTTCAGCATGGAAAATTGAGGGGGTTGGATACCTTTGTTAAAAAAAATGGGAGATATTTGTATGTTTAGTTTCTTCCTTGTATGTTTAGTTTCTTCCTACTTTTAAATGTTTGGAAGTAGGAGTTTTTAGGTTCATTCTGTCTAGGCATTTATTAAATTATAAGATGACATTACAAGTTTAGAATTTTTCTAAACAAACACATAGTTACCATAACTCTAAGAAAGGCTAAAAAGTGATATTTATTAAATATCTCCTTGAAAGAAAGGAATTAACCAAACCAGGATTGAAAAACATTTATTGAAACAAAATCAAATAATTATCTACACGCCAACACTGAACTTTTTTATTCAAGAATGAACACAATGTACAAAAAAAGTATGCTTATATTATAAAAATATCAATTTTATCTCCTGGGTGCTGAGCAGAAGTCATTTTAAACAAAATCAAGGCAAACTTGCTCTCTATAATAGAACTGCTATAATTTAATAACAAAAGTGAAAGCTAATATATACTCACAAAGTATCTTTAAAGTCCCACTGATAATGCTGCATTGGAAATGCTGAACCCAGTCACCAACCTATGCTCACTGGCACCACTTCAGGCCTACATCACGGGAAAGCACCTCTTTTTTTTTTACAGAATGCATGTCATTAGTTAACAGTTGTTAGCATGTATTTCAGCAAAGTATTAACAGTCAATCATACTTAGTTAGCTTCAATTTTCACACATTGTTATGGGGAGCAAATGACTGCCCAAGATTTACAAACCCATTTATCCAGGTGGGACCTGCTAACTCCCTAAAAACTCTGTGTCCAAGGTTAGTATCTTAAAATTGTTGGTAATTTTCTTATTTCGTGAATAATTACTGGCACCTTCCTGGGCATGTGTTCTCACACGCAGTGTGGCTACTTGTGCCTGTCAAGTCAGTGGCAGCTGCAGAACAGTTAGAGGCTGAAGAGTGCAGCCTTTGGCTTACCATGGAGACATGCTCCAGTGCTCACTAGAGTATTTATTTGGCCCTTGGAGAATCAATCAGGAAAGCGAGTGATTGATTGGGAAAAAGAATAAATCAAATCATGAATTGGGGAAAAGGGACCATGCCTCCCTGTATTGTTCCAGGAGTTATACAATTATAAAATCTGTACTAAAGTCAGAATAGAAGTAGACTACATAGCCAGCACTGACAAGGCCTTAAAGAGCTTGCACACTGCAGTGCTCTATCTGGCTGAACAGAATGACAGTGGTACTCAGGCAAAATCCAGAATGCAGTATCAACACAATAGTTCAGAAGTTATTAAACTGCAAACTGCCTATTTTGACTGCTAAGCATATATGTTTTTCCTTGACAGAGTCTCTGGGATTGACACCTATGAAGACTCAAAATTGCAGAAATATAAGGAATGAGTATTTTAAATCCAAAAGAACCGGGGGAAGAAATGCTTCCATGTTTTGCCTATATAAACCCAATAGTTTAGTTATTTACCTGTTTCACAAGAACTTGTGACTAAGGTGAAGAGAAATGATCTCTTCCTTTATGCAATTACCTAATTCCTTATAGCTTTCTAAGTCAGTTTTCAATTAAGCACCATTTCCTACATGAACTGTTATTCCTACCAAATGCAACTGTTACATAGGGCTGAACTGGACATAATTTAAACAAACATTTTCATGAAAAAACAAACCACTAATTTGGCTTAGCACTACACCCTTATGGGGAAGGAGAAGCATTTACAGAAATAGAGTTTGTTAAGAATAAACGTATTTTGGAACCTGAGCCAAAGGTTTCTCACCAATACCTTAATAAGTCACCACGCAGGTTGTTTTCACAGGCAACAACACAGCCAGCTCAACTGTTGCTCCTGGCCACTTTCATTGTCCCAAAAATATGTGGAAGATGGAGAGGCCAATGACTGAAATCCAGAGTTAGGAATACAGGCCAAAAGCTCAACAAACTGCTACTGGAAGCAACTGGATACCATAATATTAAACATAGACACATGAAAACAGAATAAGCACACAAAGAAATGAACAGCTGCTAAGATCATGATGCTCAGAGTCAGACCCAATGCGGGTATTACCACACACACACAGATACATCACCATACCTGTTTACAATCCCAGGCCCTTGCTCTCAAATAAATATATTGAACATTTACAACAGAATGAACGCCTTATGAATGCAAGCTTTTCTTTTATTATAACTCTAAATAAAAGTCATACTTCTAAAATAAGCTACAAATTGCTTTTTTTTTGTGAAACTGATGTGACTTGGTGCCACAGCTAACCTTTCTCTCATAGCAGCAGTATCATCAGCCCGTGGCAGCAAGGAAATGTTCATTTCTGGCATCCCATGGGCTCTCATACAGGCAACTTCATAAAGCATGCAGATACTACTCTGCTGAAGTTCCAAATGAATAGAAATGATCATTGTGCTTATGGATCTCATACCTTCCAAAATATACATAAATGGTGACAAATTAAAATAGCAGTTCTTTGCTTACCAATAAAATGGGGGGTTGGAGGTGGAAAGAGAAATTGTTAAAAATGCGGGAAAAAATGCAAAACAGCGCTAGCATTCACAAAAAAGATCATGCTAAAATCAGATCCATATTCATAAAAATCAATCATTAAGCCACAATCCAAAGAACTCTGTCCATGAGTCCAAAGGCATGCATGCCAGCTGAAGGAAATGCAGGATTCTTCTGACAATAGTTTCTTCAGAGCAGAATAAGTAACATGTCACTGGAGTAATCACAACAGGGTGAACAAGACGCCATCACACTTTTTTGCAATTGAAAAGGAAAGAAAAGTAATCACAATAAAAAAAATTAAACAGTGGAAACAACACAGAAATTCAGTGACCTATAAAACCAAAGAATAATCCAAATGATTTTTACCCTTTAGGGGTTCATGCCTCTTAGGGTTCATGCCTCTTAATAGTTGTCTTTTTAATTTGAAAACTTTATAATGAAAGATTTATACATAATGGTATTAAATATGAAATTACTTCACTACACATGGGATTTCATGCAGTATCAATACTCAGTAACTTCACTCATGTTTAAAGGACACATGAGACATCTTGTCACTAGAATCTCAAAGCCTCCCACAAAACGATGTCTTAAAGCATTTAAAGTTTCTCATAAGGAAAACAACCACCTGCAACTAATATTCAAAATGCAGTAACTGCCTAAGGTCATCACTTGGCCAACTAAAGTATTTTTACCTTTTCTGGTAAGTTCACAATTTGTTTTAAAATAAGAACAAGATATTTATTTTTTAACCCCAAGATTGAACTAAGGCTGTCTTATGTCATCAGCTGTTAGTGGCCATGTATGAACTGAACTTCCAGCCTGTGCTCTGAGGTACTCACTGGAGGAGGGGTCCAGGGCTATCCTGCCTTCATGTCCACGAGCTGCATCTGCACATTGGCAGCCATGCCACCCCCGTAGCCTCCCTTGGACTGCATCTGGTTCTGAATGGAGCTAACCTGCAACAAGACAAGAACAGAACCAGTCAGGAACTAAGGCCACTGCAAATGAGCAATTCTTGCCTAATATTTTAGCTGGGCTGCTTTTCCCAAAAGGGTACCTTTTATAGACTTGTTCTCATTAAAGGCAAAATGCTGAAGCTAGTGACTAAAGCATTTTTTTTGCCACAACTCCCTCTCCACCCATCCCCCCACTTCTGCAACTTTCTCCATTTTGCAATTACAAAAACAAAGTTTTGTAATTCACAAGGCACTTGGCTACATTTCAAAAGCAGTTAAAAGGATACAGATGAACTCAACTTCGTCCCTCAACCACGTTAATTTACAAACACCTCACATATATGATCACCTCAATTACCTGGATTAGAATCAGATTCAAAAATAAATATGAATGAAACTAAACCAAAGATAAAAGTCCATGTGGGACTTTCCTGGTGGCACAGTGGTTAAGAATCCGCCTGCCAGTGCAGGGGACACAGGTTCGAGCCCAGGTCCAGGAAGATGCCACATGTCGCGGAGCAACTAAGCCCGTGCACCACAACTACTGAGCCTGAGCTCTAGAGCCCGTGAGCCACAAGTACTGAGCCTGTGTGCCGCAATTACTGGAGCCCACACGACTAGAGCCCATGCTCTGCAACGAGAAGCCACCGCAATAAGCCTGCGCACTGCAATGAAGAGTAGCCCCCGCTCACCACAACTAGAGAAAGCCTGTGTGCAGCAACAAAGACCCAATGCAGCCAAAAATACATAAATGAACAAATTTTTTTACAAGTCCATGTGGTAAAATTTACATACTTAATACAGTCTTAGTACAGTCTGATAAAGTGAAATGGAGTATAAGAATCCAAAGACTTGGAATATTCAAAGCAAGCTTAGCCAGAGGCCACACCGCAGGAGACAAGTTTGCATATTTAAAGACTCTTAGTAGTACACCCTTTCCTCATATGAGCCCAGGGTGGAATCATCATTCTCTCCAGGTTTTATCACATGGTTAGAGCCCCTGAACTTTGACTCATCCTCTGCCTGAGCCTGCAAACAACATCTCCTTAACAGCCCTCAGAGAACAGGCTGGTCTCAGGTTTACAGGATGGCTTCAAAATATGACATCATGTAACCCTCACAACAACACCAGGAGGAAGCAGTAGAGACTGAACCTGTGAAACCCTAGGCATCCTATCCTCAACCCTGATAAAGGCAGAACTCCAGGCCTGTGCACTCATTTTCTCTACCTGCAACCTTGCTGAGTGGCCCCAGGAGTGCCATATACCCTCCAGGACTTCATTAACCAACCTTCTTTTAAAAAAACAAAAAAAACATAATTTTGTATGTACTAATGAAGTTTCCTTGGAATAGGACATAAAACTGGTGCAGTTAAAAGCAAGCAATTGCCAAACAACCAGCAAGAGAGAAACACAGATCCACCCGTCAGCAGACAGGGTGCCTAAAGTCATACTGAGCTCACAACCACCTATAAACACACCCCTTGACACAGCCCTGCACACAGCCCTGCCCACCAGAGGGATAAGACCCAACTCCACCCACCAGCAAGAAGGCACCAGTCCCTCCCACCAGGAAACCTCCAGAAGCCTGAGGACCACTCTCACCCACCAGAGGGCAGACACCAGAAGAGGAGCTATGATACTCCAGCCTGCATAAAGGAGTCCACAAAGAAGGTGAGACAAAATGAGATGGCAGAGAAATATGTTTCAGACAAAACAAGATAAAAACCCACAAAAACAACTAAATGAAGGAGATAGGCAACCTACCTGAAAAAGAATTTAGAGTAATGATAGTAAAGATGATACAAAATCTTGGGAAAAGAATGGAGGCACAGATTGAGAAGCTACAAGAAATGTTTAACAAAGAGGTAGAAGATGTAATGAACAAATAAAGATGAACAATACAATAACTGCAATGAAAAATACACTAGAAGGAATCAACAGCAGAATGACTGAGGGAGAAAAATAAGTGAGCTGGAAGACAATGTTGGAAATCACTGCCACGGAACAGAACAAAGCAAAAAGAATGAAAAGAAATGAGGACAGTCTGAGACCTCTGGTAAACATTAAAACACACCAACTTTTGCATTATAAGGGTGCAAGAAGAAAAGGGCCCAAGATAATATCTGAAGAGATTATAGCCGAAAACTTCCCTAACATGAGAAAGGAAACACTCAAGTCCAGGAAGCGCAGAGTCACATAAAAGATGACCCCAAGTAGGAACACACCAACACGCATATTAATCGAACTGATAACAATTAAAGACAGACAAAAAAATATTAAAAGCACCAAGGGAAAAGCAACAAATAACATACAAGGGAAACCCCATAAGGTTATCAGGTGATTTTTCAGTATAAACTCTGCAGGCCAGAAGGAAGTGGCACAATATATTTAAAGTGGTGAAAGGGAAAAACCTACAACCAAGAATACTCTACGCAGCAAGGCTCTCATTTAGATTTGATGGAGAAATCAAAAGCTTTACAGGGGCCTCCCTGGTGGCACGGTTGTTAAGAACCTGCCTGCCAATGCAGGGGTTCTATCCCACATGCCGCGGAGCAACTAAGCCTGTGTGCCACAACTACTGAAGCCCACATGCCTCTAGGCATGCTCTACAACAAGAGAAGCCACTGCAACGAGAAGCCCACACACTGCATCCAAGAGTAGCCCCTGCTTGCTGCAACTAGAGAAAGCCAGCACGTGGCAATGAAGACCCAACACAGCCCCCAAAAAAGGTTTTACACACAAGCAAAAGATAAGAGAATTTAGCACCACCAAACCAGCATTACAACAAATCTGAAAGGAACATCTCTAGGTGGAAAAGAAGAGGCCACAACTAGACTCAAGAAAGTACGAATGGGGAAGTTCACTGGCACAAGCAAACATAAAGTAAAGGTATGAAATCTTCCACACACAAACAGAATATCAAAACCAGCAATCATGAGGAGAGTACAGACGCAGGATATTGGAAATGCATTTGAAATAAAGATATCAACAATTTAAAACAATCTTGTACATACACAGACTACTATAGCAAAACCTCATGGGAACCACAAACCAAAAATCTAGAATAGCTACACACACAAAAAAGCAATCCAAACACATCATTAAAGATAAGACATCAAGGGACTTCCCTGGTGGACCAGTGGTTAAGACTCTGCACTTCCATTGCAGGGGCCACAAGTTCAATCCCTGGTCTGGGAACTAAGATCCTACATGTCGCTCAGCATGCCCCCCCCCTCAAAAAAAAAGAGAGAGAGAAAGAAAAAAAAGCAGACATCAAATCACGAGAGAATAAAAGAGGAAGACAAATGACCTTAAGAAACAAATCCAAAACAATTAAAAAAATAGCAAGTACCTACATATCAATAATTACCTTAATGTTAATGGATTAAATGCTCCAACCAAAAGACATAGACTGGCTGAAACAAAAACAGGACCCATATATATGCTGTCTACAAGAGACACACTTCAGATTGAGGGACACACGCAGACTAAAAGTGAGAGGATGGAAAAAGGTATTCCATACAAATGGAAATCAAAAGAAAACTGGAGTACCAATACTCATATCGGACAAAATAAACTTTAAAATACTGTTACAAGACAAAGAAGGACATTACATAATGATAAAGGGATCAATCCAAGAAGATATAACGATTACAAATATATATACACCCAACATAGGAGCACCTCAATACAGAAGGAAAATGCTAACAGCTATAAAAGAAGAAATTGACAGTAGCCCAACAATAGTGGGGAACTTTAACACCTCACACCAATGGACATATCATCCAGACAGAAAATTAATAAGGAAACAAAAGCTTAAACTGACAGAATAGGCCAGATAGATTTCACTGATATTTACAGGACGTTCCATCCAAAAACAGCAGATATACTTTCTTCTCAAAGGCACACAGAGCATTCTCCAGGATAGATCACATCTTGAGTCACACATCAAGCCTTGGTAAATTTCAGAAAATTGAAATTATACCAAGCCTCATTTCTGACCACAGCACTATGGGATTAGAAACTACAGGGAAAAAAATGTAAAAAAAACAAAAAACAAAAAAACCCCACAAACACATGGAGGCTAAACAATGGTACTAAACAACCAATGGATCATAGAAAAAAATCAAAGAAGAAATGAAAAAATACCTCAAGACAAATGACAATGAAAACATGATGGTCCACAAGTTTTTGGGGTGCAGCAAAAGCAGTTCCAAGAGGAAAGTTTATAGAAGTACAATCGTACCTCAGGAAGCAAGAAAAATCTCAAATAAACAACCCAACCTTACACCTAAAACAACTAGAGAAAGAACAGCAAACAAAACCCAAGGTTAGTAGGAGGAAAGAAATCATAAAGATCAGAGCAGAAATAAATGAAACAGACAAACAAAACAACAGCAAACATCAATAAAACTAAAAGCTGGTTCTTTGGAAAGATAAACAAAATTAATAAACCTTTAGCCAGACTCACCAAGAAAAAAGGGAGAGGACTCAAATCAATAAAATTAGAAATGAAAAAGGAGAAGTAACAACTGACACTGCAGAAATACAAAGGATCATAAGTTGACTACAAACAACTATATGCCAATAAAATGGACAAGCTAGAAGAAATGTACAAACTCTGACAAAGGTACAATCTTTCAAGACTAAAGCAGGAAGAAAAAGAAAATATGAACAGATCAATCACAAGTACTGAAATTGTAGGGCTTCCCTGGTGGCACAGGGGTTGAGAGTCCACCTGCTGATGCAGGGGACATGGATTCGTGCCCCACTCCGGGAAGATCCCACATGCCACGGAGCGGCTAGGCCCGTGAGCCATGGCCACTGAGCCTGCACGTCCAGAGCCTGTGCTCTGCAACGGGAGAGGCCACAACAGAGGCCCACGTACCGCAAAAAAAAAAAAAAAAAAGTGCGGAACAAGTACTGAAATTGAAACAGTGATTTAAAAACTTCCAACAAGCAAAAGTCCAGGACCAGATGGCTTCACAGGCAAATGCT